CACCGGCCAGCCGGTTTGGTACAGCTGATGCGGCAGCGATGGCGGTTGCCGACGGGAACTGGCGAGCGCGTGTTGAATGCCGCGCACGCATTGCCAGACGAGTCGAGAATGGCCCGGTACACCGCAGGAAGCCAGAGGTGGCCGGAGGAAACCCGACGGTCTGACAGGACACCCCAAGCATTTTTGTGAAAAAGCATTGGGTTTTTGATGTTTTTATGTTGAAATGCTTGCAAAAACACGGTGTTCGGTCGGATTCTGACATGAACGCGCGAGTGTGCTCTTTGTGGTATTTTTTGCACAGGATTCGCGGCCTGGGTGCATGACAGAGCATCGCGAGTGCACCGCGCGATGACGTGAAATCGCTGGATTTGACAGAATTCTTAAGATTCCTATGGTTTTCCTATGATTTCAGCAAGAGAGCGGGCGGGAAATTTGTATTTTTTTTTTTGAAAAAGAAAAAGCATTGGGTTTTTGATGTTTTTATGTCTGACATGAACGCGCGCGTGTGCTCTTTGTGGTATTTTTTGCAATGGATTATCGCCGTGGACGACAGGACGTCCATGTCGAGAGGAAAAAATAAGAAACATGTTGATTTTGTATTGTTTTTGACAGGTTAGGATGGGACCACCCGGATGCGCTCGCTATCTGCCGGCCTGAGGGGGGGGTAGGAGTATATTCTAATACGGAATAAGGATAGGAGTCAAGCTAGCCAGCTCGAGCGAGTCAAGCATGGCATGCCCAGTCCCGCCCGCCCTCCCACAACATAAGAAGCAAAGCTGGCACAACTGGGCCGAAGTCACACCGGCCAGCCGGTTTGGTACAGCTGATGCGGCCGCGATGGCGGTTGCCGACGGGAACTGGCGAGCGCGTGTTGAATGCCGCGCACGCATTTCCAGACGAGTCGAGAATGGCCCGGTACACCGCAGGAAGCCAGAGGTGGCCGGAGGAAACCCGACGGTCTGACAGGACACCCCAAAGCATTTTTGTGAAAAAGCATTGGGTTTTTGATGTTTTTTATGTTGAAATGCTTGCAAACACACGGTGTTCGGTAGGATTCTGACATGAACGCGCGAGTGTGCTCTTTGTGGTTTTTTTGCACAGGATTCGCGGCCTGGGTGCATGACAGAGCATCGCGAGTGCACCGCGCGATGACGTGAAATCGCTGGATTTGACAGAATTCTTAAGATTCTTATGGTTTTCCTATGATTTCAGCAAGAGAGCCCGGGCGGGAAATTTGTACAATTTTTGTGAAAAAGCATTGGGTTTTTGATGTTTTTATGTTGAAATGCTTGCAAACACAGGAAGGAGACACGGTGTTCGGTAGGATTCTGACATGAAACGCGCGCGTGTGCTCTTTGTGGTATTTTTTGCAATGGATTTCTCGCGTGGACGACAGGACGTCCAGGTCGCGAGGAAAAAATAAAGAAACATGTTGATTTTGTATTGTTTTTTATACAGGTTAGGAATGGGACCAACCCGAATGCGCCCGCTATCTGCCGGCCTGCGGGGGGAGTAGGGTATCTAGTAATGAATAAGGATGGAAGGGGAGGAGGGAGGAGGAGTGGGAGGAGGAGGAGGAGCAAAGGCGATGAGGAGGAGGAGGGGAGGAGGAGGAGGAGGAGGAGGAGGAGGATGAGGAGGAGGGGGGATGAGGAGGAGGACGAGGAGGGGAGGAGGAGAGGAGGAGGAGGATGAAGGAGGTGGTAGGAGGAGGAGGAGGAGGAGGAGGGAGGAGGATGAGGAGGAATGGGAGAGGAGGAGGAGGAGGAGGAGGAGGAGGAGGAGGAGGAGGAGGAGGAGGAGGACCAGGAGTGCGGTGCCCCCTCCTGCGGTCCGCGAAAGGTACCTGACCTTTCCGGGGGCAGGCGTGTGCTGTGTTCTGTGGGTTGGGTTGTGGCTGCCGCGGGGCCATCGGCGGTCTTGGATCTGGGTCGAGCAGGAGGAGGATGAGGATGAGGATGAGGATGGATATGAGGATGAGGATGATGATGATGACGATGATGATGATGATGATGATGATGATGATGATGATGATGATGATGATGATGATGATGATGATGATGATGATGATGAATGATGATGAATGATGATGATGATGAAGAATGATGATGAGGATATGATGCTGATATGATGATGAATGATGCGATGCTGATGCTGATGCTGATGGATGGTGTGATGGATGATGATGTGATGAGGAGGAAGAGAAGAAGAGGAAAAGGGAGCTGGAGCTGGAGCTGGAGGAGTAGGAGGAGGAGGATTGTGTCCAGTGTAAACCCAAGACTCGTCAAGTTCCCTCTGCACGGGCCCCAGCAACTATTCATGAGGAGATTGCCCCGTTGGGAGACAATTGTTTGACGATCCAGAAGCGTGACCAGACACCATGATGATCATGACGTTAACGCCACGAGTCAACCTGTCTGTTGCGTCTTGGCGGTGCAACGTTGCGGATCAACGTAATTGCGCCCTGACAATTCGGAACCATTCCAAAGCACAGTTTCTGGTACGTTAACCATGAGAAACAATGAAACGTTTGCAATTGTTCAAAACGAACGTACGCCGCGCCAAAGCGAGACCCACATGTTGAACAGGAAGCGCCGTGACGCCGTCAAACTCTCTGCTTAAACGAATGTGGGCGGCGCTAAAGCCAGAACAGCCGTTTGAAAACTAGCCGCCCTCAATCCGTGAAAACTCTTGCAACTGTTTAGTACGAATGTGCGCGGAGCTGAGGCGAGAGCCACAGTTTGAAAAAGACCCGCCCTCCATCTGTGAAGCTGTTGCCAGGTGCTCTAGCTTGAGGCTCATAGATGGTTAGGAAGAGTCGAGCGAAACGCCAAGCCCGCCCGTCCGACTGGCATCATAATGCGACAGGGAAGATATATTCACAAGGGAAATGAATGGAGGAGGATGAGGATCAGGAGGAGGAGGAGCAGGAGGAGGAGGAGGAGGAGAAGAAAACGATGGAGGAGACGGATGACGGGGAGGTGGAGGCACATTGGGAACGAGCAGCAGAGTGGAGGAGGACGATATGGAGGAGAGGAGGGGGATCAGAAACGAGAGAGAGGTGGAGCACGCAGGCGGGGCTTTGGGAGGACGCGGAGCAGGAGGATGAGAAGGGGACGGAGGATAATAATGCGGGGCACCAGATGCAGCCCAACACGCACCACCGGTGCGACGATACCCCACCTCCTCCCCCCCTCCTGAGAAGTCAGCGGTGCTTTCACCCCCCGCCAATTGCCCCCCCCGTTGACGGACACCCCATGTAGGCTGCAGACCAGAGAAGGACGAGGAGGACGGAGGGCAGGAGAGGTTGGGCGGATGCAGGCCGCCCCGACCTCGGAACCGACTGCCGCGCCCACGGCGGCACCGACGGCCTCGCCGACGGCGGCGCCGACCTCGCCGACGGAGGCTCCCGCTGCTGCCGTTGCCGCTGCTCGGCCGCCCCCGTGTCGAGGTTTCGAGGCTCCTGGGTCGAAGCTCTTGCATGTGGCTTGCAACTCCAGGGCACGGCCGGCTCTCCACTGGGCCGCAGGAGGCTTTGCGGGGCCATCTGGAGGCTTCTGACGAGAGATCTCTGGGGGGCTCGGGGGACCTGGATCTGTGTCGAGGAGGGGGAGGAGGAGGATGAGGAGGAGTTGGATGAGGAGGAGTTGGAGTAGGATGATGATGAGGAGGAGGATGATGAAGAGGCGGAGACGGAGGAGCAGGAGAAGGAGGAAGAGGAGGAAATGACGGAGGAGACGGAAGAGGGGCGAGGAGGAGGGACATGGGGAACGAGCAGCAGAGTGGAGGAGGACGTTCTGAAGGACGATATAGAGGAGAGGAGGGGATGAGCAGACACGATAGAAATGTGGAGCAAGCATGCGGGGCTTGAGGAGGACGAGGAGTAGCAGGAGCAAGAGGAGGAGGAGGAGCAGGAGGACGAGGAGGAGGATGAGGAGAAGGAGGAGGTGGAAGAGAAGGAGGAGGGAAAGGATAATAATCATACTGGGCACCAGATGCAGCCCAACACGCACCACCGGTGCTACGATACCCCCCCTCCTCCCCCCCTCCTGAGAAGTCAGCGCGCTAAGTTCTTCTTAACTGCGGCAGACGCCCTCTTGAGACGATACGTGGCCCGGCCCACAAGGTGAAATCTCAATTGGTTTTGACTTGGCTACCGAGATCGGATGTTTATTTGGCTGTGCAACGTCGCACAGCAGAACGCTTCAGAGAGGGAGTGACCGGCTGGGAGCCACTTTCGGGGACGTGCAGCTATCGGTGCAGTCGGGCGGACGGCAACGGGGGGAGCAACGAACGTGGGGGGGCAATCCACGCAGGACAGTTGCCCTACAGGGGCCATGAGGGCCCCCCATCTGCCACCGCGGGCCCCAAAAAGGTCGACGCGACGTGCACGGTGCTTTCACCCCCCGTCAATTGCCCCCCCCCCGTTGACGGACACCCCATGTAGGCTGCAGACCAGAGAAGGACGAGGAGGACGGAGGGCAGGAGAGGTTGGGCGGATGCAGGCCGCCCCGACCTCGGAACCGACTGCCGCGCCCACGGCGGCACCGACGGCCTCGCCGACGGCGGCGCCGACCTCGCCGACGGAGGCTCCCGCTGCTGCCGTTGCCGCTGCTCGGCCGCCCCCGTGTCGAGGTTTCGAGGCTCCTGGGTCGAAGCTCTTGCATGTGGCTTGCAACTCCAGGGCACGGCCGGCCACCTCTGTGGGTGAGGCTGTGGCTGAGGGCGCCCCCTATCCCTGTGGGCTTCTTTAATGGATGCCCTGTGCATGACAATCATCACGCCACAAGGCACACGATGACTTGCAATACCACAAGGTGATGGGCGGAGTGTCATTGATCAGCCAGGGGGTGATCCAACACGCTCCCACAGAACACACGGCCCCGCATCGCCGTGGATCTCTGGACGCAGTTCACCCGCCTCTCCATGAGCGGCAGGGCTTGCACTTGCTTCTGCCCTTACAGTATCAATAGTTGACTATAGCTGCTTCTGAAAGGGGGGCTGCGTCGAAATATTCACGGGACATGATGACATGGCGGTGTCCGTGCAAGCGACCTTGTGGGAGACACATGCTTCGGCTTTGGGCTTGGATGGGATGCCCATGGACCCAGATGAGGCGAGGGCGGGACAGTGTCTGGGTGCCTGCAACAATGCCGCCACTGTGCCAGCGAGCCCGCTGGATGCCTCACCGCCCAGATGCCCTCACGCGTGGCACTTCTTCCCTACACTCCTTCACGGGCTGATCCTGGCCGGCTTAACCGGCTGTCCTTAGGGCGGGTTTTAGTTAAGTCAGTTGAGTGTTTCCACGTGGTGATGCTGATGTCGATGGTGATGACGGTGACCATCCTACTTTAGAGGTGCAATTAATTTCATCTGCATCACCATCATCACAATCACCATCGCCATCGCCATCGCCATCATCATCATCATCATCATCATCATCATCATCATCATCATCATCATCATCATCATCATCATCATCATCATCATCGTCATCATCAACAGCAACAGCAACAGCAACAGCAACAGCAACAGCAACAGCAACAGCAACAGCATCATCATCACAATCATCATCATCATCCTCATTTTCGCCATCATCATCATCATCATCATCATCATCATCATCATCATCATCATCATCATCATCATCATCATCATCATCATCATCACCACCGTCACCATCATCTTCCGTAGGACTTGGCTCAAGACATGCAATGTCGTCGTCCCCACGCCCCTATTCGAGCCGTGCGGCCCCGTCCAGACCTGCGGCCTCCTCGAGCCGTGCGGCCCTCTCGAGCCGTGCGGCTTCCTCGAGCCGTGCGGCCCCCTCGAGCCCCTCGAGCCGTGCGGCCCCCTCGAGCCGCAGCAGCGCCGCGATGCGTTTCGACGCGTCCGCGGCAGCATGGCGTCCTGGCTCTAAGCCTGTAGCAGCGTGAGTTTCCCGTCGCATAGTCTGCAAACGTGCCATGTCTGCTGAAGAAAATGAGACCTTCTCTCGTCGTTCGACCTTCCTTCCTGTTCCAGACTCCATCCTTCCCCGTGCCTTCCGCGCCCCTCAGGGGGCGCTTGTGGCGCTGGCGGCGCTGCCCGCCGCTGGGGACCTCGAGGTTTCCTGGGGGGGATTGCGATTGCGGGCGGCGGCGGTTGCCAGTGGCGGAGGTGGGATGTTGCCGTTCAGAGCGCCCGGAGCCGAGGAGGATGGGGGGGTCGGAGGGAGGGGAGGGAAAAGCAGGACAAGGCAGGAGTGGGAAGGGGGTCGTCTTCCACCGCAGTTGACCAACCTTCGAGCGATCCCCGTCGAAACCTTTGAATTTGGAGCGATCCCCACCGACAGTTGCGACGGCGCAACCTTAGGAGCGATTCCTCCCTCAATGTGAGCTCCGACAGTGCTGGTTGTGGCTCGATTGCGCTCTAACCCACCTTGTTAGAGCTCGTGCTTAGCTCTACCCGCACTTGTTGCATCTCGGTTTGAGCTCTAACCGTGTTGGTTAGAGCTCCATTGAGCTCTAACAGACTTGTGTAGAGCTTGAATTGAGCTCTAACCGACCTGGTTAGAGCTCGATTCGAGCTCTAACAGCCGTGTTTAGAGCTCGCTTGAAGGACATGGTTAAATGTCGAGTTGAGCTCCGAGCTCTTTTGTTAGATCTCGACTTGAGTTCTTCCCGAGCTAGCTCGATATCGGTTCGAGTTCCAACCACTACCCTTAGAACTCGATTTGGGTTTTAGCCGACCTGTCCGTATAGGCGCGCGGTTCGATCTCAAGTGTAGCGGCCTCGGTTTCGGGCGGGGGCCTCGGGGGCGCGTCTGCGACGGGCCGCAAGCGCGAGCGCGGCTGGCTTCTGGCCCCGTTTGCCAGGGCGTCGACGGACGGGTCGGTCGAAACAACGCCCGCGGTTGCGACCAAGCCCAGGGGGGGCGGTTCAGATGCCTCGCTGTCTTCCTCCTCTTCCTCCTCCTTTTCCTCCTCCTGCCCCCCCCCCCGTGCATTCTCTATCAGGTTTTCAGTCGTGCTGGCGTCGTCCTCCGTCCTGCTCCAGTCCGGCCTGCTCCCGCGCTCAGACTGCGCCGCCGCCCCATTTCGGCGCGCCCCTCGCGCGCTTCGGGGCCCCGTGGCCCTCGCGTCGGTGGGGGGGGGGGGGGGCAGTTATGAATCAGTGCGCCAGGTGCCGCCGCCGTCCCTGCGTTGGTGTTTTGCCCAGCCATTATGTGGTGTTGGGTCCTCGTTTTGAAGAGACGGTCACCGCGTTCCTCTTCTCCTCTCCTCCACAATTACTCAACGTGAATACTGTTCCCCGTCTTCCCCTGATGACGTCTTGGGAGTAGCCGCCCCCCCCCCCCCCCCCCCCCCCCCCCCCCCCCCCCCCCCCCCCCCCCCCCCCCCCCCCCCCCCCCCCCCCCCCCCCCCCCCCCCCCCCCCCCCCCCCCCACCCCCCACTACCCCCCCCCCCCCCCCGCGTATTGTTCCCAACCATCCTGTGGTGTTGGGTCCTCGTTTTGAAGAGACGTCGCCCCGCGTTCCTTCCTCCTCCTCCTCCTCCTTCCTCCTCCTCCCCTTCCTCCCCCCTCCTCCCCCTCCCACGCCCATTCTGGCACACCCTTTCACACGTTTCGTGGCTCCGTAGGGAGCTCCACCGAAGGCCCCAGCGGCTGCGCCCGCATGCGGTTCCACCCCCCATTCTGGCACACCCCTCGCACGTTTCGTGGCCCCATAGGGGGCTCCACCGAAGGCCCCAGTGGCTGCGCCCGCGTGCGGTTCCGGCGCCGCCCGCATGCGCCCGCCACCGCCCAGCGCAGCCTTTGCTCCCTGCGTTTCACCCCCAAGCACAGCGTTTCGTGGCCCCATCCACCGAAGGTCCCAGTGGCACCGCCCGCATGCGTCCGCCACCGCCCAGCGCAGCCCTTGCTCCCTGGGTTTCGCACACCGAGCACAGCGCCTCGCGGCCCACTAGGGAGCTCCACCGAAGGTCCCAGTGGCACCGCCCGCATTCGTCCGCCACCACCCCGTGCAGCCATTGCTCCTTGCGTTTCACCCGCCCAGTGCAGCGTTTCGTGGCACCGTAGGGCGCTCCAGCGAAGGTCCCAGTGGCACCGCCCGCGTGCGCCCGCCACCGCCCAGCGCAGCCTTTGCTCCCTGCGTTTCACCCGCCGAGCACAGCGTTTCGTGGCCCCATCCACCGAAGGTCCCAGTGGCACCGCCCGCATGCGTCCGCCACCGCCCAGCGCAGCCCTTGCTCCCTGCGCTTCGCGCACCGAGCTCAGCGCTTCGCGGCCCCATAGGGGGCTCCACCGAAGGCCCCAGTGGCACCGCCCGCATGCGTCCGCCACCACCCAGTACAGCCATTGCTCCCTGCGTTTCACCCACCCAGTACAGCGTTTCGTGGCACCGTAGGGCGCTCCAGCGAAGGTCCCAGTGGCACCGCCCGCATGCGCCACCACCCAGCACAGCTTTTGCCCCCTGCGTTTCGCCGATTCAGTACAGCGTTTCGTGGCCCCATATGGGGGCCCCACCGAAGGTCCTAGTGGCGCCGCCCGCATGCGTTTGTCATCGCCCAGCGCAGCCCATGCTCTCTGCGTTTCACCCACCCAGCGCAGCGTTTCGTGGCCCCATGGGGAGCGCCACCGAAGAAGATATTCAGAATTGTGGTATTCACAACTGCATATGGTTGGGTCCTTCGCCAGGCTAATTTTTGTCCGCCCGCCAGACGCGCGGGAGAGGCGACGCTGCCAGTGCAGCGTCGCGCTGCCAGTGCAGCGCTTTGCCCCTCCCCATCGGGGCCCTTTGTGTCCCGCAGAGGGCCTTGGGGGTTCCACCTTCGGCGTCGCGCGCGCGCGCCCTGGGGCGAGCCACTCGGGGCTGGCGGCCTGGTGGAGGAGGAGTTTAATTCTCGAATGCGCGAGCGCGCGACGACGCGCGCGCGCGTGCGCTGCGTTCGCGGCCCCGTCGGGGGCCCCGCCGGTGGGCCCAATGGCAGGGTTCGCGCGCGTGCGCCCCACCCAATTCTAACCCGCCTTGTTAGAGCTCGCGCTGAGCTCTAATCGACCTTGCCAGATTTCAATGTGAGCTCTAACCGCGTTGGTTAGAGCCCCATTGAGCTCTGACAGTTTTGGTTAGAGCTCGATTTGAGCTCTAACCGGCCTGGTTGGAGCTCGATTCGAACTCTTGCCGACGTGGTTAGAGCTCGGTTGGGGGCCTGGTTGGGTGTCCATTTGAGCTCCGAGCGCTTCTGTTAGATTTCGATTTGAGTTCAACCCGAGCTTGTTCGATGCCGACTTGAGTTCCAACCACTACTCTTAGAACTCGATTTGGCTTTTAACCGACCTGTCCGTAGGCACTTGGTTCGATTTCAAGTTCAGCGGTTTCGGTTTCGGGCGGGGGGCCCGGGGGCGTGCCCGCGACGGGCCGCAAGCGCGAGCGCGGCTGGCATCTGGCCCGGTTGGCCAGGACGTCGACGGACTGGCCGGCTGAAACAGCACCCGCGGTCGCGGCCAAGCCCAGGGAGAGCGGATCAGATGCCGCGCTGTCGTTTTCCTCCTCCTCTTCTCCCTCCCCCTCCCTCTCCTGCCCCTCCCCCTTGCATTCTTTATCGTG